TGCTGACTCTGTAAACCGCTTAGAGAGGGCTGAAAGCCCTATGAAGTGGTATATAAGTCTAACTCTTATTGCTATTGCTAATTCTCTTCGGTCTTATCTGCCTGCCATTTCTTGAAAGTTTGCTTCTTTTCCTCTTTCTCTTGTATTTGGTCAGTCCACAGACATGCTAGTTTGGCAATATATCAGTGACCTGATTTTGTGACAAAGAGGGTTTCTCTGGCAATGCTGATGACAGAATCACAGAGGGTTGACAAGGTGATGTTACTTGTAACAGCACTGATAGGTGGGAATACAATTTTTTGGACACTGCTTATTTGTGGTCCTGCAACTTCCACCATTTGATCCTCTCGGGGCCGGTGGTGCTATTCATTCTCTTATAGCCTTTTATTTTTAGATCTGTGACACATAATTTGTGTTGTGGGGCAAGAACATCAGAGGAGATAATCTTGGTGTTGCATACCATGGGAAACTCACATCTTCTCAAGAGAATAAAATTGATCTGACTGCTATTTCTGCCACTGGTGAAAGTAATGAGATGGTCTGGATATTTTTTGAAAAATGTGTTGTAGATCACGAGATCATTTGCTTCTGCGAAGTCCAGGATTCAAAATCCATCTTCATTGCAGTTTCCATAACCTTTGTCCCCATGGCATTGGTAGCCATCCCAACTGTTTCCCACGTGACCATTCAAGTCACCGCAGAGGAGCAGTAGATCTTCAGGGCAGACACAGTTTTTAGTCTGCAGTTCATTTTAGAACTTATCCTTGGTGTCTTCATCGAGTCCTGTTTGTGTAACATAAGCAGAAAACACCTAGAGTCGATGGATGGGTGTATCAATGGTGACAGACATGAGACAGTCTGAATATCTCTGGACCTCAGACAACTCTCATTAATATCTCTAGAGAAAAAAAATCCTGAAGGCTATTGAGATTCATGATGAGGGTGGAGGTCAAAAAGATGAAAGTAATAATTATTTATTAAACTGTACACTGCCCAACTCTCAAGGACTCTAAAGGCTGTAATCTTTGCTTGAAGAATGAAAAATGTGTCCTTATTTAGCAGGTTAGTGAAAATGAGAAAATTAAGACTTTAGAAACCAATTTCAGGTATATGGAATGTATGGAATTTTATAATGTACTTATTATAATTATAATAAACATTATTTCCAAAGTGCATTATTTTTTAAAAGCAAAGTTATTCTGGAAACAGTCCTACTCCCATAACTGAATTACTCATTCTTCTGCAGAAGGAACTTATACTAATGTTTTCTAATTGCATCTAATTTCTTTTACCTACCAATACCATTGTTGATCATTTGATTTCATCTCCTGGTAAAAAGTCTGTGAGGCATTTAAATTAGTGAAACTTGACAAGTATCATTTGAACCCTGAGATGGGTGGCAAATAAATTTAATAATGCTCTACTTACCAAAGAAAATAGGCACATTAAAGTAGCAACAATGGTGCGCTGGAAGATCTGCAAGAAATACCATTTGCCTGCAAGCAAGAACTGGTGGGACCATAAAATAATACAAAATGAAGAAACTAAAGTGTCTATGGCTTTAGAATTCAAGCGGACAGGCATTGCCACATACACTTCAGATTTAACAATTGGGGATAAAAAAAGACAAAAAGTCTGGATAGTGGACATGGAAATACATGAAGACTGAAGAATAGGACTTCCGGTTTGGCATTGCTGCATTACAGTCGTTGAAAGCAGGGCTCCACGAACCTAGGCTGAACTCTCCTTGTTGGGCGGTGGGGTGTTAAAGGGCTAAAGCATCAATGAAATTCAATTTTTTTTTACTACTGGTTCTGTGCGTGTGGCTTGGTGGGCATGGTGTGGCTTGGTGGGCATGGCTTGGTGAGCGTGACAGGGGAAGGATACTGCAAAATCTCCATTCCCACCCCATTCTGGGATGGCAGAGATGGCATTTGCCAATTCTCTGAACTACTCAAAAATTTTGCTACTGGTTCTCCAGAACCTGTCAGAACCTGCTGGATTTTACCCCTGGGCTAAAGTCACCCTGTAGGAATGACAAAGAAAGGAGGGATGCCTTACAGATTGCGGAGAGCCACAACTCTCCTGCTTGATACGAGGCTTACTGTACTGTCCAGCAATGAAGAAGGAGGGGCGTCATTATGGCTGCCATGAAGCTGGGACAACCAAAGAAAAAAATGTGCTGAAGCAGGGTTTGAATAGTAGTCTGAAGCTGGCTGAGATGATTTTCAACTTTTTTTATTAGAGATTAGACCACAAAGAAATGAAACCTCAGGAAGATATCTCTTCTAAATGCTATAAGTGACTTGGAAAAAAAAAGAAATTTAAGAAAGGATAAAAATGTTAAAATACAGGAAGACTGGATTTGAATATTTGAGAAGTCCTTGGGATTAATTAGGAGTGGAGATAAACAACATCTGGAACACTGTGTTTTCTGCTGCATATTGTTTGATAATTATTCTTTTCAAGACTGAGGAGGGAAAATTTCTGAGACTTTTAAAGATTGCTAAATAGAGTGGTTCACAAACACTGGGAATTATCACTGAAGTCAAAGATTTGGTTATGTGATTGATGAAGACAAGGGAAAATGTGGAAGGAGTAAATTGACTGGTGGAGAACTGTAAAGAACTATAAATATTGGGCATTTGAGAAATGATTTTGGGACAGTGAAAAGCTGTAATATTGGCTTATTGATACTACAGACAACTAAGAGTTTGGGATTTTGATAGATTTATGTGTATTTCTTAGAACTATTAAAGTAAGACAAAATGCTTCAATAGGGAAACACAAGCATAATGCAAGAAGAAATATTATTGGTCCTTCGAAGCATGTATGAATGACAAAGAACCAAGGGGTGATAAAGGATTTGATGCATAATATAGATGTTAGATTAGAAAATGTGCAGCAAATGGCAATGGAAAATGAACAGGAAACTCAGGTAATAGAGGAGAGAATAGAAACAGTAGAGGAAAGAGAAGAACAGACAAAACAACAAATGAAGCCAAAAGATAAGGAGAAGGTAGAGATAATTACAAGGGAGGAAATAGACCAAGCTGACAATATATTTAGAGACTCAAAAATAGAATTAGATAGGCAGAAAGACATCCCTGAAGTGAGGCTAGGATGCTGATAGACATAGTGAAGATCTGGCAGTGAGAGATAGAGACAGAGATAGAGGGAATATTTAGACCAGGGGTCTCCAACCTTTTGGAGTTCAGGGACCACCAAATCCATAATTTTAAATCCTGCAGATCGCTGGGGGGAGGGAGGCTTAACTACCTTTCAGCCTACCTGTCTACTTCTGCGAGGCCTCCAGGTGGGATGCTCGAGAGAAAGCACCTGGTCTAGGCACATGCCTAGAAACCTCTTTTTTGTTAAAGATTTTTTATTTTTAATTTTCAAAACAAACACAACACATAAAATCTTCCTTTTTTACATACTGTAAAAAGGGTATCAGTTGGTTACAAAAGACTTTCGTGCATCTCTTCCACAGTCATCAAGCATAATTCATATTAACTCAAGTATTTTAACTCAGATATTTATACATGTTATAACTCAGATATTTATACATGTTATA